GAATGGCAGCGCTGCGGCGGGGCGAGCCCGCGGGAACGGGCCGGGCCGGGCGGGCAGCGGAGCGGTGTGTCGGTACACGGTGAAGGCACCGCGGGGGGCCCGTGCGGCCTCGGGTGTCGGCAGCAATGCTGCGCCGGAGGAGCGGCGCTTGGGGGGATTTTCGCACGTCGTGGCCGCGGTAAGTGCTGTCGTGCCCGGCAGCCGTGATCGGATTTCCCTTGTGGTTTGTACCAGGCCACGCTGAAGGCGGATTGTGTCAACAAACCCCTTGCACAGAGGTGCCACGACCTGGAGACGGTCATCGAGGAGCTGCCTGCCAAGGTGAGCGCTCTCTGCTTTTTCAGAGCCTCGCTGCTTGGTAAGTTTCAGGGGAATTGTTTTTTTTTATACTACAGATCTCTTTGTTCCTCTTTGTGTTATCAAGACAAACTGTCAGGAACGGGCTGGAGCCACGTGGAGGTGTCCAGGGAAGGGCTGGATGTGGCACTCGGTGCCGTGGTCTGGTTGACACGGTGGTGTTTGGTCACAGCATGCAGTCGATGATCTCAGCTCTTTTCCAGCCTGATTCTGTGGTTCTGAGTTTTGGGTCCCTGAGCAACAGGGAAACAGTGGGAATCCAGTGTTGCCAAGAATTAAGAACCTTTTCTAGTCATTAAAGGGTTGTTTCATTTCACTGCCCAGGTGATGCTGATGAGCACTGTTGTGACTTCAGTAGGATCAGAAATCAGGATAGGTCTCCCATAACTGCTGTGTTATAATGCAGTGTTTTGGATGGACAATCTGCCCAGTGATAATCCAAAACCAGTCATGAATAAATGTCAGAGTTATCTTTGTGGGTCCTAGTACATGCAGTAGAGATTATCCAAGTGAGAAATTGTGCACATTAATTCTTTGTGTCCGTTTTCCCTGAAGGAACTGCATGGCATCTTCCCATGGCTGGTGGAGAGCATTTTTGGCAGCCTGGATGGCATCATCGTGGGCTGGAATCTTCGCTGCTTGCAAGGAAGAACAAATCCTAATGAATATTCTGTGGCTTTGGATTTCCTGGATCCCAGGTAAACTCACTCATTTCTGCACAGATTAAGAAATGAATTGGTGAACAAATGAGCAGGGTTTGACCTTTTTCCATTGTGCAGAACTAAGTTCACAGAAGCCAGGCAGCAGAGGGTATTTTCCGTGGGATTCACTGTCTGGTGCTTGTTTGCAGTGGCCCGATGATGAAGCTGGTTTACAAACTCCAGGCAGAAGAGTACAGATATGATTTCCCAGTCTCATACCTTCCAGTGAGTAACTGAACAGTTTGTAAGAAGGGAATGTAATTATTGTTGCAGCTGCTGGAACTTTGCATGCACTTTATACCTACATTTCAGTTTAGGCCAAGTGCTCCAGGTTTAGACCCATTTCTTGAAATGGCTCCTGGGGGAAGAGAGTTCCCAGCCATAAAATCTCTAGGAGATTGTGGTTCTCAGCAGCTGGATATGTGTGTTCAGCCAAGAAAGCTGCACTGTGGTTCTTGCCCTGTCCCCAGAGAGAGTTGTGTGGTTATTAGTTGCAGGATTGAAAGTAGTTTTGTAAACTTATCCCAGAAGTCCTACAGTCTTTAACAAAGGGAAACCTCATTTAAATATAGGGTAATTGCTGGTCCACAGCTCAATTACCTGGACAAAACCAGCAGCCAAACACCAATACTCTGCTGCT